TAGATTTTTTTGTTTTTTTTCAAGCAGAAGACGGCATACAAGATTCCAAAACTTGACTTTAGACCATTCGTGTGCACTTCCGCTCTTTTATTTTCAATTGTTTATTTTTTCTTTCCTCCAACTTGTAAAAATATCTTTCCGTAAATTATGAGAATTTTATTTTAGTACGTGTCATGGATCGATTGGTACCAATTAGGGGGAGCATATTATTCAGAATTACTTATCGATATATACCATGACACTGTATATGCAAAAAAACAAAATACAATAAATAATGTTAAACTTATTAAACATATGTTCTGTATTAAAAAAGCACGTTACTTACCGTCCTTAACACCAACTTATTTAAAGACATCAAGTGAAACAAGTCCATTCTTCACCCAGCAAGGGTCCGGCCAAACCTTTGGCAATAAGCGAACTAGTTAATCTTTGAAAAAATAGATCTATTATGGACAATGTTTAAACTTACTCTTGCAAATACTCTTCCTTTGATTAAAGCATAAGGTACGGGTCCATAATTTCTTGAGTCAGTGGAATTACTCATATTATCACCTTGTATCCAAACATGACCAGAAGGTACCTAGTATTTATGAATGAATTATATAGAATTTAAAGGAAAAAAAAATTGCTTAATGGCAATTCTTGACTCACAGTAATATATCTACGATTGACTGCTGTTGGATCGATGCACACTCGATCCCCTGGCTAAACAAATTGAATAATTGATTATTATAAATTGCTTAATATATAATATATAACCATTTTAATAAGAATTTTAACTTACCATTCCTAAAATGCGTTTACAAACTGATCTCCAAGGATCCGTAGGAGTAACACAAACAACCACATCCCCAATTTCAAGAAGTTTTAATCTATGAGTTATACGTTCCAATGCAATGAAATCTCCAACCATATTTAAAGTTGGAAGCATTGAGGGTCCTAGGCACTTTTAATGCATAAATTTCATTTATTGAAGTTCTGATCTCGGGAGTAGATCTTTTACGCGCCTTTCTTGCAAGAATAAAGTAAATGAATATACCTGAGTTATTTCTATTATGTATTCATTTGTAATATGTATAGTACAGAAGACTCTGATTCCTACACTAAATATTTTTGCAGCTTTACGAGCAAAAGGTGAAATATATATAAAAATTGACATTAAAGCGCGAAGAAATTAACGAATGCTGCTGATCAGAATTATACTATGCACATGATTAAAGTTTGCAATAATATAATTGGATAATTTCGAAAATGGCTTTTCCTTTTTTAGAATAACAATGTATTATAATTATATTGGTATATACCGTAAAGTGCTGACTCAAGTACCCGGCGTGATAAATAGTATAGATCAATATTTTAAAATGCTATTTATGTGTG